TTTGAATGTCAGGGTTTATAGCCGAACTTTCCGAGGAGGTTTCCGCATTGCTAGACTGAGCAATGTGATGAGGAGGCTGAGGCACATCAGAGGAGTTAGAACCGAAATGTAGTAATGTGTGGTGACAGGAACTATTACAGATCCTACAATGGGAGGCAGAGTTACAATGTCTCGCAGTATGTTTGGAACCCAGACAGTGGGTACACCAATTATTTTGTTTTACTAGGTCGTACCTCTCTTTTGGAGATTTAGCAGAGAACGTAGGGCATTGGTAAATTGTGTGTAGAGCTTTACATAGGGCACATCGATTAACATTCGACTTAGTCTCTACCAAAAGAGAGGACGAAGAAAATGGAGGAGCAAATTTATTCAATGTTACAGGTTTCTTATTTTGTATATTTGAATTGTATTTCATACTACTTTTGACCAATCCCATTGAATCGAATGCTTTACATTGCTTACTCAGAAACTCATGAAGACTTTCATAAGTTGGCACGTCTGAAGATGAATTGTCCAACTCGAAACGTTTTAGAGATTCTGAATCAATCTTTTTACTCAATAAATGAAACAATACAAAGTCCCAGCTCTCAACCGGGAATTGTAAATTTTTCAGAGCTTGTAAATTATCACTAAATATGTCTAATAAATGTCTCAGATTACGGGAAGCTTCTGAGGTTATCTTTTGAGCATTAACTATTTCTTCCCAATAGAAGTTGGCTAATAATCTTTTATTTTGGAATCGAGATGTCAGTGTATTATATGCTATTGAGTAGTTGTTATTGGTGAGCGGGAGATTTTTGAGGGAAGAAAGAGCTTCTCCCGACACAACTGATAAGAGGTATTGGAACTTTTCTATGTTCGATATGGAGTCGTTTTCGTGAATCAATGAATTAAATAAATCTATAAACGTCGGCCAAGCTTTCAAATTCCCATTGAAATTAGGAACATTCAATTTCGGCAGCCTGACACTTGAGACTTTTGGGAAAGTAAGTTGATTCGCTTCGAAGAGATCATAACAAATAGTTTTAATGCGAAAATATTCATCGTCGGCATCTTTCCGAAACTCATTTTCTTCCTCCAAAATCCCCGCTGCTTCCTCTTGGACACATAACAACTGAATAATTGAGTTATGACATGAGTTAAATTCCGCATAGATATTTCCTAATTCAGAGAACCGGACTTTAAGGGAACTGTGTTGTGACTGATCATCTAAAGCAGCGATAGCTAATTCAAAAGTTTCATGAATTCTATTGCGATGAATTTCTCTAGCAGCGCGGTACTGCTTGAGTTGTTTTGCCGCCATAATAATGAAAATATTCACTTTAGCGGCTTCGGCTACACAGCTATCAACAGAACGAGAGAAACCCGAAAGAAATGGATGTTGACAAACTAATCCTACGATATTTCAATCGGTTTATCAGAGAACTACGTATTACTTTATCGATAAAGGTGTAAAACAATTGCACTGAAAGAAAAAAGTACAATATATTTCGCACGAGTAGGCGAGAACATAAAATTGTCAAAATACCTCCGAGAGCGGCTAGAAAAACATCCGTAGCAACTGTTCAAAAACGGAGAACCCACGAGACACAAAAACTGGTATATCGACCACGTCGATACCTGAAATGATTTAGTGAATTGATTTTCAGAGCTAAATTTGCTTTGAAAATATTGAAATATTTTCATTGAGAATACCCCCAGTCTACTCGATCCGGCTCGAAGGACCAAAAATGTTATGTAATGTTATGTAGCGAGGACTAGGTTGAAGTTGCGAACATTTAGGAAGTCAAGAAGACGGCTAAACTTGGCCTACCTGGTATTCCTTTTATGGTCTCTCCAACTTGTAGCAGGTCTTCTGGGGTTGCAACCACCGCCCTCCAAGGGGGAATGAGTGGACTGTATGTTGGTGGGAGATAGCACACTAGGGGTTACTCACGAGAGATGAGATTACGAGTCACCAAAAAATGGGGTTTGGCACGTCAAACAATGTATATTTTTAAATACATGCGCGTATACCGAAGAGTCAATTGGTACTGCCGGATATCTATTCGATATCTTCGCGATAGGCCGGTCTGAATCGCCGAGTCTTGACTTCCACAAAAAAACAAAAAAGGTCAAGCCCAGCATAAACAAAATAATGTTTTCAGATAAAAAAAAAAACTGAAGGGATTCCCAATGAAGGACAGTAATTGAACCTAGATATTTTTGATACCTTATAAAATAAACTATAACTATATATTATCAACATAACTAATATACAGGGCGATAATTTACGCGTGGCGTAAACAATCTTCATGAATTCTGCTGAACTGGTTCCAGAAACCGAGCCATCCTTTTATCTCACCACCAAATTGCCTGAATTCAAGTTTAGGAATCTTCAATTTGGTTTTGGTTTCTGATTTCTTAGAGATATCTTCTTGACTAATCAATGTTTCGAAGCGACATTTGATTTTATGGTATTCAGAACTCATTGTATCCATCAATTCTATCTCTGCATTCATACTTGCTTCCACAACTTCTGAGTCTAACATTGAATCTAACATAAGTTGATTCAGTTCGGCAATTTGATGCATTTTTTCATCCAGAACTCTGATCCCACTCTGTATTTCTATGAAGCTGTAATTATTTTTGGAGGAATCTTCTTTCAACTTATCACATATCCTTGTAAAAGCTGTCCTTTGTAGAGCTATGGCTTTCTTGGTTTTTTCCATACTCGCTATAGAAGTGTCCTGTCACGGTCGCCAAAATGTTAGAACTGTCTATTTCTTCAGTCTTTCAGTCTCGGAATTGCCCACTACTAAGCTGTAGGAATGATTAGGTAGCCAAATCTACTTCGAATGAATAACTTTATTACAGGAAAAATGCAATATTAGACATCTATCTTTTACATTGTCATCATCTCTCAAAAGTCAAAATAACAATCAAAAAAATATAATACAGAGTGTCTTCCAACATCCGGATTGAAATCAGGTACGTAAAGGCATGTTCTATGATGCAGTATGAAATAAATGTGATTTACAATACATCAGTAATAATATAATGAAAAAAATAGCTTTGTACAAAAACAAAAATAATATACAGATTGTCCCAAATCGATGAAAACCTAAACTTGACACATATTCCAAAGATCAAAACAAACAAATTGACCTGAGTACAAAATCGATTTGTTCTGAACACCAGGTATAGCTGTAACGTATTCAGTACAAAATCACATGAAAGAAGCCCATTCCAATACTTTGAGTCGTAGAAATATTTTTATGAGTGAGGAATTGGGAATGGTGAACATTTTAAAACACCTCTTGATGAAAATTTCATCGTTCTCGAGAGCTGAAGGGTCCGGAGAATTCTCCAATTCTCAATGTGAAATATACATTTTCGAGTTTTGTAGCCTCGAAAGGAATAACCATCTTGTGTATTGGCTACGTTTATAAACTCCAAATAGACCGGTAACTCGTTTTTGCTGAAGCTGCTCCAATAGACTTCGAATAAACTATACATATTCTGCTGACCCCAAGACAACTTTGATCAACCTACGCGAAATCTGAATGTAGAGCACTTGGTTAACTCTTGGAGGTTTTCCAGTAAAAAAACCAAATTAGATTCGTTTATTCATTTGATAACATCCGGGTGCAAAATACAATACTGCATTATCTGAAAGATATAACCATAATGTTCACAATGTGATCGAAACAATTTCAATGATAATTAAGTGGCTGAAGTTGATGATGAAAATTGAATGAACTAGAGGAATGAAATGTCTAAGATTGTCTTGAAATTGAATGGCAATATAAATGAATGAAACGAACATGTGTGTTTCAATCATAGTTTTGAACTAACTCAGTGCTGTACAATGAAATTTCTACGATACTCCAATATTTACTGAAGTTTTAACTCACATAGTGAAGAAAAATATCACCAGCTCACACCAGTTCACCACCAATTATTGGTGTCCCCAGAAGCCCTGACTGTTTCACTGGAAATTACCACTGATATTTTTTGCAATCTCATAGGGTGACATTTATTCTTATCTACAGTTGAGAATTGTTCCAGAGATTTTATTGCTAATTTCATCCGTTCGTGTTCCCCAACACCAATGTGGTGTACTTTCACAATCATTTGTTTATTTTTATACCAAATCGCAATATTGGTATTTCTAGGAAACTAGATCTTTTGCTGAATACTGTCTGTAGGTTGATCGTGGAGGTGGTATATTCAATATTCAAGATTTTTTTGGGATTTCCTCTCTTCGTCTCGATAAAATAACAATATGAATACTATCTCAATATACGGGTAGTTGGGACAAATCAGATGATTTGTCCCGAAATGTCACTGCGTTTGAAGAATTTCCCTATCAGAGAGCCTGAAAGGAAAATTCACTAGCTTGTCAGTGACAGTTCATATTGAAAAAGGTTTGAAGAAGTGATGTAAAGGATATGATGATGATCAAATTCAATATTGAAAGTGATGGTAGTGAATCTGAACTGAACTGAAAATTCAGACATCAATGAATCTGACCAAGGTATTGATGTTGAAATACTGTAAATGGTTTTATTTCATGATGGGATAGCTTTTGTCGAAATCTAAATGGTTTCAAAAGAGAAAACAGGCACGTCTATTCCATCTGTATTTCAATAATATATCTTCAATGAAATATTGCGATGGTTGCTATCCAGCGACGATGATACCAAATATTTGATATAAGTAAATTGCAACAAGAAACTCGATCCAACCGATCTTCTTTTGAATGTATGGAAAATAAATTTAAACGGAACTGACATGTTCATATACCATTATTAATAATTGAAATCGTACGATAATTCTGCAGATATATATCTACGATGTGGCAATAACAATTTTGAGAAGACAATGAGAAATCTCCATTCAAAGAAAAACGAATTGATCTGATTTTCGAATTTGTATGTTGCGTAACGAACAAACGAATTACGAAGAAATGTTATAGATTAGTAGGCTCACCAGAGTGGACTTTATGTTTGATGTAGATGCGGTAGGTCTACGTTTCAGCTCCATCCTCCTCGAATGTCCCCTTTTATGATCACTTGATATCGATTGATACTTGACTTGTGGTACTGATGAACACAGTTGAACGAAAGTTACCAATGTTCTGGAAGAACAACACCAAAGATGCCGATCATTCGTATTTCGCTGAATATCTCTTTTTCGTCCATGTGTCTATCTCTCCAACTATACCTAGACATGCGCTTTACTATCCAATCTTCAACCCATAATGCACAGATAAACAGAATATTCACACGCAGGAAAATCCGGCAAAAGAATTCACTACAATTTCGCAGTTAGAAAGTCGTGGTACTTTTGAATGCGATCGGAGTACAATGCTTCTCGACAATAAGTTAACTTTTCCTCTCCAATAGTAAACGTGAACTTCAAAATGTGGTCAACATTTTCAGACATTGGGAGATGAAAATAACAGGAATGAATGTTATATTTAACTGAACTAATGAGTTACGTCTGACAGTTCAAAGTTCCCTATAATATTATGTTAATTTCAACTAGCTATTCCGTTAAATATCTCCGCCAATTCCTCTTTCATTCACCATATTCTCCAGGTAAAACGGTTGTTGAGTCTATTACTGTATCTCTGGTGCTATCAACTGACATATATGATGTGATGTACTGCAACCAGAAGTGTTGAATTACTATCGAATCAGCATTAATAAATTGGGGTGATAAAAATAACACACCCTCAGTAAATACACTTCGTATGATAGTATAAATGACATAATGCAATGATCTCCATAATGATATATCTGGGAACACTTACTATCGCTGAATATTCAGTATATAGTTAGGAGAATGTTGAGGGTAGAAGCATATAGAATATTTTTGTGGAAAATTCTCTTTCGGTGTCTATTTGAGTTCAGCATTGTTGTGGGTTATGCTGTCTATATGGAAAATTATTCGATAGGTAACCCATGACTATTTTCGAGCGTCCAAATAACTTCAACAGCAGGTATACATATATTTCCAGAGGAATAATTTTCACGAAGATGTCCCAAGTAGAATGATAATCTTTCATCCATTTCAGAGATGAATAACTTCTTCAAATATATGTCTTGGCTCTTGCTGCATTGGATATAAAAGAAAATATTGAAATTTGAATTGAACTTTTTTTCAGAAATTAAGTTTATGCAATATGTGATCCCTAGTTCAATTTTCTTGTAAGAATTCAACACAATAAGCTATCTGAATCTATAGCTACGTATACTATAGGTTGGTATAGGTATACTAGGTGAGTAAGGCTGTAGGTAGGTAATGAGTGACTATAAGTATATACTCATATTTCGCATGATGGCATGATAAAACTAGTCTCATTATTCATACCTACTTTTGAGATTTTTTTCATTTTCGATATCGGTAATTCGATATAACAATCATGTTGGAGAAAAAATTATTTCAATAGTCAGTTTTACACCATATAAAGGTAACATGATTATTCATAATATGATATATTCAAGCATTTGTTGGATTATAGTTTTAATAAGCTACACATTAGATCTTCATGAACTTCAAATTTTATTATGAGATTTCAGGAACAAGATGATGAAATGTATACATAGCATCAGTTTTCCAATTTTTCCAGGAATGATATGAAGCTTCTAGTTGATATGAAGAAAATTTTAACAGTTTCGTCATTGGCTGACCTTCAACAATATAGAGGACACAGGAAGGAAGGAATGCTCGAAGTCATCTCCTTCCTTCCTGTGAAATATTTCACTCCACTTTGAGCAATATGGACTTCTACCAAAGAATAATATAGAGGACAATAAATCGATGAACAAAATACTTCAAAATTGATATTTGAGAAGAATGTAATCTTATTAAAATCAATGCCAATGGTGCGGCAATCTAGATATGACATAATATACTCCACTATCACCTATGGTCATCAATTCAGCACTCGAAATCAACAGCTGGATTGGTGAAAATCACAAAATGAGATTGACTGACTGGTGATTCAATCAAAATCTCCCTTTGAGGTGTTTTCCTGAATATATTCATTTTACCACGGTGCTGTAGATTGTTTTCAACTTTTCGCATTTATAGATTTACCACGATGCCCAATAACATACTATCAGGTTGTTTCAACGTATTTATAGAGTATAATTAACTGCAGCGAAGTTTTTCCTTGTTATTAACATTTTTCGTGATAAGATATACAGCGATTCTAGTAGTTTGTACCATTCTTTTTTTCTGCGTGTATACATATCGATTCATTCCAAATGATGATATATTGATGAAACTCAATGCTTTTCTCATTCTCATTAATTAAACTAGTGAATTGATAATAAACACAAACGTTGAGGAAGAAACAAATCGTCCCAAAGAACGAGGATATGTTGAGCTTCAAATTTGAGAAACTTCCTACTGAACTAAAAATACGAATATACACTATGGTCAAATCGATTTGTGTTAGTAGTCCACCGAAGATAGATAATGTCATCTACTATACTTGCGATAGCATTCGTATCAAGACTAAACTGAGAACTATTAAAGGTGCTATAATGAATGAAAATGAATGAAAGTATTTCGAATTGAGATTCATCAGCTACCTGCAAAATTTGTATATATTATTTTAATAATTTTTTTTTCAATAATGTGTTCATTCTTGAGAATTTCGTCCTTCTAATTCCGGTAGATTCATTTTCCACATGTTGAATCCACCTATTTGAATATCGGTTATTTTTCATAGAAATGATGTTCTCAATTTTTGAAGGAATATTCAACTACAAAAATATGTACCGAAGGAAAAACAAAGATATGATTCATGGAAATAAATCATTCATGGCTCTTGATTCAGTTTGAAATGAGTTCGAATAAACATGTGGTTCACTAATCCGTAGAGTTTGTCGACCCCTTTTCTGAACTATATTTGAAACTGAAAACCACCTTTCTCCTGAACCAATAATTTGTTGGAAAGCTCGTCATCCAGCTCTCTTTCGACTTAGGTCTAAATCAATTCTCATGCGAGAAACGAAATACTCACCCAAATTGAGTTTTGTGCACGTCGAAATCCGTGAAAGTGAGCTCGATAATCTCGTCAGAGCTGCCGATGAAGGTGTAAAGCAGGCAGTCGATATTGGCAGGGTAGGGTTTCGGAAAATCAGGGCTTTTGAACGTTCCTTTTTCCTTGCTGTACAGAGTAGAGTATACCAGGCACTGGCAACCTGAAACGCAATGAAAAATAATCCAGCTTGCATAACTTCTCGCTGGTTCTCTCAAATTCATAAAAAGTGACAAAATTCATTCACAGAAATACACATTGTTGAATTCATTGTACCTGGCATCAATGACGAACGTTTCCATATCGGGTTTTGTGTAAAGTTACGATAAAATGATTCATCATTAAAATAAATCGAATATGTTCTCATCAGGAGGCCAGGTAGCCGTGCGGACAGAGTGTCAGTATTCTGATCCGCTTTTGCTTGCCGGTCGTGGGTTCAATTCCCCGCGACTGCAGACCTTTTTCTGATGGCCCAAGAGAGTGTTTGGGATCACACGTTGAAAGGTAAGCTCCCCGTCATTCCTTGCTCGCACAAGACTCTCGTAGACTTCTGAGTTTTGCTCGTAAGGGGCAACCGAATAACCGATAAAACAATTCTACAACAACAACAATTTTATAACTACCTCTATTCCACATATCGCACATATCAGATGGAGAATAGGTATTTATCATTCAATATGGTGTCAGTCGATTGAGGAACTACGTTAGCATTCAATGGGGATTGGGGGTTATAAAAAATATGATTTGATTCTGTGGATCCTTCAAAGTGTGTTACAGATTTCTCCGAGATCATCACGCTTGGAATGTCAACATATACATACCTCATTCTTCGACAAGATCATCATCTTCGAAACCCTAGGTCAACAGAAACTGTTCTAGATCTGTTGCCTTGAAACAAACAGCCTATTATCGCGGGATCAGAAATCCTAACCTCGTGAATACTTCAAAATATGTGCAACCAAACAGAAGATGCTCAAAAATGATTATACAGTGCCACGATGAATTCGATGCTCATAGATTGACCCAATGAATCTTGTTAGCTTTCGTCCCTCGCTGAAGCAGTCGGAATAAACCTCACTAATGGTTTATTCTCACCACTGACGGCAAATCAAGAACAAAAGCGCGAAAGAAACAAATTATTCTTGCAGAGATCTTCAGAGCAAGGTCCATATTGTGTTTTGATAGAAGAGTGCCGCTAGACACCCCATCCGTTGAAAGTCGAATGCCTGTCTTTCGTCAACCTACCATCAGATACCTTCTGCTTGATCTCAAAGCAAATGAGGCTCACGGTCCTGATGGAATTCCACCCATCATTCTCAAGAAGTGTTCACCTGAATTGACACTGATTCTTCTCAAGTTATTGATTATCTCGTGCAAGTCGGGTATTTTCTCATCTTACTGGAATATAGATAGTTTTCTTGCATCTCTTGAAGAACATCGTTTGTATCTACTTAGGTAGGATTGGGTGGGAAAATAGGTGTGGGTATTTTTTTTATGAATTTTGGGTTGTACGAATATATGAATGATTTGTTGGGAGTAACCATCTGCCCTATCCACAACTTTGCATATAAAAGTACTCATACTGCGTCCTCTACTCAAATTCTCATTTCTCCCCAACACATTGAAAACTTAGGAAGAGAGCAAGTTGATGATGTCAATGAAAATATTGCTGAAAATAACTGCCTGCAGAACCAACAACCTAGTCGGATTCAGCGCCACTCAAACTCCTCTAGACAGGCGAAACTCGGTATAAGTGATATAACATTGCCTGGTACCACGGCGGCGGTGTATTTACATTCCTACTGCGCAAATATCGCCAGGATTCAGATTCATTTGCACAAAAAATTCATACCGTACTTTGACAACGCAAAGATCCATGTTAACCAAGTTGAAACAGAATAGATGAGTACACCTTCCACGTACCTTTGCTTGTCAAGAATGCAAGGGTGGTACCAAACACCTCA